AGGCTGCTGTTTACTACATTTGTAACATAGAATTTATAATACTTTTTTTATTTGCAAGTACATGTGTCTTAATAACTTAAATACAACTTAATAACTGAAAAGAAAAAATAAGGTTGTGCAGCTTTGACGTGACCTGCAGATAGCTAAGCTCTGGACTTAGTAAGCTATATAGCGTTTTAATAGATAATTTTATAATTATCAATTTAAATCGTATCGTGGCCGCGTTGGTTGTTTTTGCATTTATAAATTTCATCGTATTCTATTCAATCGATGATATATTAAAATTAACAAAGTAATAACAAAATATGACATATCGACTACTTCTAGGATTTTACAAGCACCCATTGTTTGTGAAATATAACGGCTAACGCTTTGTTTGATTAATATTATTCGATTCATTCGATTGCTATTTTATTTATTATTTATTTATGTGATAAAACTAAGACACAAGCATATGTTTATTATTAAGTGGTTGTATATATGTATCACAAAAGCAGTATAGGGAATATCTTATATTTAAATAATTCAGTTTCATAACACACACATAAGCTACTGCAGGACAGGAAAGTGTTTAGTTTACTAACATCTGCAAACTTCATACAATGCTAACACTTTTACAAATTAGATCTAGAAGATAAAAAACCTTCCCGCTATCTTATGTACACTCGCGCAGCCTTACGAGTAGAGGGGCAGGCTCGGCGGGGCGGGGGCAGGCAGTACCGCGATAGACTCCATCTTGAATGCGCGTGCGCCGAAGTGCGATTATTAATGTTGTGATCATTTCCATGTTTTATCCAGGTTAGTTTCACACTCTTTACTTGTACCTTGTTAAACTTAGTGATGTTTTAGAAGTTTTCCTTTAACTTTAGGTATTCTTTTCACATTGTGATACGAGTTAAACCGGTTGAGTAATAAACCACTTTTACGGCTCGACCGAGTTAGACAACTACTGGGTTTTAAGTTCGCTATATTTACTTACGAACATTATAAAACCTATTTCTAAATCTGGTACCGTTTTGGTGCGAAAAATATTTATTAGAGACTTCTAATAAGATCTTTAGTTCTTTTGAGTGTGAAAGTGAGATAGCGCGTGGGGGTGACGACATATTCACATTATTTTTTGTCAAAATGAATACAGGTGTGCATTGATATTATTTAGAAGGAAAGGTACATAACAGTTTAGTGTGCAGTGTTTTATGCGAACGCGTAAGCGACGTGAAATCCACGGCGCTTGCGAAGTTTTGAGCGCGAGCGTGCTGTGTTGCAATATATTTAATCGATCGAAGGCCGGTCGAGAGGCTCTTGTTATATTGGACGGAGCGCAATTTCGTACCGACGCCCGGTTTAGGGTGACCTCAGCTCAACTAACAGTGGACTGCTACAATCGATAACTTCCAGTAATTGCGGACACCAAACGAGATTTTTCAAAAAGTCTCAACGAGGGTATTATAAAACTTATAAAATAATTTGTCCGTATTAATTATGTCATTATTACGGACACCACCAAAACAATGCAGTGGCTCAACACCCAATTTATCAATTAATGACCCAAGAGAATCGTTCACGGATGTTAGTAATATTACTTTGTGTCTAATTTCCGAATGTACCTCTCCTGAGGAGAGGTACATTCGGAAGGAGGAGGAGGAAGGAGAGTCTCCTCAACTGGAGGTGTTAGAACTGTATTCATTTACTAATGAAACACGGTTTCAAACACTAATTATTATTATTTATTACTAGCTGACCCGGCGAACTTCGTACCGCCTTAGCGTAGCAATGATGCACTACTTTATTTTGTATAGCTGACCTATCTTAGGTATGAGTACCTATTCAATTTGAACTGTAATCTATAATATCCTCCATATAAAAATGAATCCATAATTCCCTGGTCTCGCTATACCTGAAAAGGACCTTACTAATTTAATTAAATAAAAAAGAAAATATATATTTCATAATAGTGTTTATTCCATAGGATTCAATAATTCCACTAATGTTTTTACAAATCGCTATTGAACAACTTGGCATTTTTAATTAAACACAGCTCAATACCACGCGCGCTCTAGAAAGCAACTAATAGTCTCTGTACCCTTCACTGCTTCTCTCTACTCTAATGCTTTTTGATAAACTATATTTTTAGTTTTATGTTCTGGCGCGTAAATAAATAATGTTGATGGTTTTCCGACATGGGAACAGGCGACATATAATTGGCCATGTGAAAAACATGGATTTAGTCCAATAGCAACAATTTGATCTGAACTGTAATCAATTGCCACATTATAACTGAATGCAGCTCTGTGGGGATTAAACACAACATTTCTATCTTGATATCGATTCCGTTCAAGTTCATTTCGCGCTTCGCGTTGCTCATCAGTTTGATTTGCTCTTATATTTCTTTGACTTGCCGTATTTCGAGTTCTGCGGCCTAAGCTTGTACGTCTGGTTGGTGGCATTGTTAAAAACGAAAATCCAACTGAAAATAAAAAGCTCTCATACATTTTCTGTAGGACCATGTATACCAAATTATAGTATTGTGTAGTCACCAAAAGTTACTAAAAATCAATATGAAGCTGTGAACTTACCGTGATTAACAAACACTTATTAGCAAACAAAAATCTTCTTAGTCTTTAAAACAAAACAAACTTTAACAAAAACTTTATAAACTTATTGTTGGCGCGGTTATGGGTGTGATGTCACAGATTAGTGATGGTTAACTCGAGTACCTAACCCGAGTGTACTCGAGTTGGACGTAACTCGAATCTACTCGAGTTGAATTTTCTCTAATTCGAGTTCGAAAAAAATTTCAAGCATATAATTTAGCTAAGGAAAAAATATTCTTTGTGATACTAATTATCTTATTTTCTTGAAAATATTGTGATTACTGATTATAAAAATAGTTTGATTGATAATAAATATTATTTTAAATACTTAAATAAATGATTGGATTTCACTCGAGTTAAATCGAGTAATATTTTTTCTGAGTTGTCACATCACTATAACAGATTACCACAGATTTTTTTTTATAAAGCCAATGTACTACCACAGATTACTAAATAGGTTATGCGAAGTTTGTATAATGCGTTCTGAAATCAAACTCATATACTCAGACCACACTTACACTATATTTTACCTTAGTAACGTCATAAAATCGGAACATTTAATAATATTTATCTATACATAACTATTCCGTGGCGAGTTATTTTCAAAAATTAATTAGAATTTAATTAAGTAACCACGTTTCCGAACCAACAACGCTCATTCAATATAGTCTATGGCTGTGAATGACATTGGCTGCGTTCAAGTTTACTAAGTTCTTGGCAGATCTTAGCATATCTTGTAGCAACAACTTAAAGTAACTATATTATTTATTTTTTTAATCTATAATGAAAAAAATATAATAAAAAAACAATGCAAGACATATTTAAGTGTGTCTAAAATTAATTTTTTGGTAGATAAAGTCAGCCCTGCTCAGAACTTAGTAAACCTGAACGCAGCCATTGACATTCGTTACGCGCGTTTTTTTAAATATGCAAAATTAAATGTATATTTTTTAATATTTCTGAGAGATTTCCTAAAAAAATTTTGCCGTAAGAACCTTCTCCTAATAATAACAAATACAACAAAAAAAGAATTAGTGAAATCGGTCCAGCCATTCACGCGTGATGCCGTGACCAAGGAAAACGGGTTTCATTTTTATATATATAGATATAACATTCAAGCCACTATGTCAATGCAAAAGGATACAAAAACCTTAGATGTCTATCCGGTGATGAGAATCTCTTTAGGCAGATTTAAAAATGTCGTCACTTTATGAGCGCCATCTAGGGATTCAATTCTCAACTATACATCATCGTCCACCAAGGACAGCTGTGCTTGTCCTTAGCAAAGATATCGCCCATCTTAACGGTAAGTAACAAACTTAGTAACTTAGACTAATTTACTTCTTAACACTTTCGCTGCGGTAGCATTGAAACTAAACTTTCTGCCAATGCGGTACGAGACAAATACTGCCCGTATCTATATTTCCTGCTATGCGTTACGACCTTTATTTTGCCGTACCAGAACCTGACTTTCAAGGTCTACACAGATGTGGAAAATCCCCGTATCAACGAGTTTTTTTAACTAATCGATAGGCCACATCCCCGTGCATACCTAGCTGCGGTAGCCCCGGGTTCTGTAAGATATTTCGAAAGATACAGAGATATTTCAAAATCACTCATTCACCGCATTATATTTGCCGCAGAGCATAGAAGTGAAAAAATACTAGGGTTGGGTGGGGGGGTTACTTGTAAAATGACAATCGATATTTTAACTAAATTCTTTATTATATATACAACATTAAAATTTAACAGGACATGAATCAACATAATTATTCTTAATTAATTTACATAATAATTATTCTTACAAGTAACACCAATTTTTAACTTTAAAAAATTAACCGATCAACAAAAATGTTAACAGGTTTTAAAAATTTTGATTCATACTAAGGTACATAGAAGGTACTTATTAGGTAATTATTATAATTACTGACTAATCTATGATGAGATCACACAATATTAGGAACTTTAATTTGAAGAAAGTAGGGTTACATCAGCCTTCTTTTCACACTGAACAACTTTTACACTTGACATCTTTGGCAACAATTTTGAAAATATGGAGTAATGTTAGACTTTCTATACAAAACGGTAAGGCATTTTTTTTCAACTCTCAACCATGTTTCTTGAGAAAAATGATCATTTTTATGAATTATCTTAGATATAAAACTTTTTTGTAAATTGCAAAACTTAACTAATAATAATAAATGGTTGTTTTCTTTGAAGATTATTATGGTATTTATTTATCATGCATTTTATTGTAGCAATTTAAACACATAGACTTTTGACATTCTTGACAAAATGTACGCACTCTTTTAACTTTTTAGCAGGTTAGCCACTCGTGATTTTTTTCCAGTATCTTTTAAAGAAGCGTTATGCTCTTTGAAGGTGGTTATCATTGTCACAGGGCGTTTATTCATCCATTTTATTATTTTGACTCCATTGTTCATTCTTCCAATAATTTCCAATAACTTCCTTCTTTAATTTTGTACTTATGACTGTCTTGGGTAACCCTTTCCTATTAGTTCTCACGGTACCACATAAATATGTATTTCTTTTCAGTAATTCTTCGGCTAATGAAACCGACGTATAAAAGTTATCTGCTATAAGAGTTCGACCTTCATGTAACAAATTCTTAGTCAATTTGAGAACTACATCGTACCCATGACCTGCCCCCGAATTTTCTTCATCCTTCCCTGTGTAAACCATTAGTGAGTACGTGTAACCCTCAGGTGTGCACAGTTTATATAGCTTGATGCCATATTTGTGTGCCTTGTTTTTAATGTATTGGCGAAAATTAAGCCGTCCTTTCCAAGGTATCATTGTTTCGTCAATCACTATAAATCGACCTGGTTTCAATATATCAGAAAATGATTTTAATAGAATATCGAGAGATTTCGAATTTTATATAATTTGTCACTGTACTGTTTTGTATGTATAGTCTTTATTTGGTGTCGAGTATTGTAATAAAACTCTCAATATACGATGACACGTCTGTTTAATATCGCCGTCAATACAATACTGAAGTGCCGTAGGCACAGTACTTCCCCTAATAAAAAAATTGGTTACAAACATAACTTAAAAATATAAGTGTTATTTTTAATTTAGTTACACAAGTTTAAAATACGATATCAATGATGATATTTAATATATTATGTGTTTATATGGCGAAGCGCACGACAGGTTTGATAGTTCGGCCGAAACTCGACACTCTCGGCTCATTGTTTTCATTATAACTTGCCATATTTGGTATCTTTGAGCATGTCTCGCTGTTGTTAAGTGCAAAGGCTGGCTTCAATCGATCTATACTAACTATTTTCTCCGTATCCTGTTGCATAATTTTATAATTTTTTTCCGTTTTGCTGATAATTTTGAACGGCCCCATGTAGGGTTGTGTTAAAGGTTTTGTGACCTTATCAACACGAACAAATACATGAGTGCAGTCTTTAAGATCGGGATGGACGAATATTTTTCCTTGATGGTTCGTCTTTTTGGGCACTGCTACTAAATTTGATATCTTACTACGTAATTCTTGCAAAAATAAATTGTTGTCAGAAGTTTCCCGCTTTATAGGCTCGAAGAAATCCCCAGGCAACCTTAAAGGTTCTCCAAACACCATCTCCGCCGCACTAATCTGCGTGTCGTCTCTCATACTAGCTCTTAATCCCAGAAGAACAGATGGTAATTCTGATACCCAATGTTCCGTGTTTCCTCGGCACATAAGTGCGGTTTTAAGCGAGCAATGCCATCTTTCCACAAGACCATTCGATTGCGGGTGATAAGCAGTGGTTCTAATCTTATTAATACCCATTCTTCTAGTTAATTGGAAAAACAAATTAGACAAAAAGTTAGATCCTTGATCGGTTGTCAAGTATAAAGGGGTTCCGAATCTCGCAATCCATCCGGTGTAAATAATATCCGCTATAGTTTGAGAGGTTATATCCTTTACAGGAATGGCTTCAGGCCACCCGGTGTTCCTATCTATCATTGTTACAATATACCTATAACCGCTGCTATAAGTTAAAGGACCCACAATATCCATGTGAAGGTGTTCAAATCTATCACTATGTACAAAATGCCCACGAGGTGACACAGTATGTCTATGTATTTTAGATTTTTGGCAACTTATACACGTTTTAGTCCACTGTGTAATGTCTTTGTTCATTCCTTTTCATATATAACGATCTTGCATCATTCTTCTAGTTGCACGCGTCCCAGGGTGGCTGATGTCATGCACCGCGTTGAAAGCTGATACACGAAATTCCTTAGGCAAATATGGTCGCGTCCTATTAGTCGATACCTCGCAATATATAGGTAACTCGCAATTAGGCATGAATAACTTTCGAAATTGTAACGTGTTCGATTCCAAAAGATCCTTTAACTCTGTATCTTTACTCTGTATCTCGGCTAACTTTTTGTAATATATAGGTGATGCGTCTATCGCTGCTATGCGAGAAAAACAATCCGCAACTATATTTTCTTCCCCGGAAACATATCTAATATCAGTACAAAACTGCATAATAAAATCTAGATGTCGTATTCTCCTTGGTGTATCATTTTTACCCATGGTATTTTTTTGTAGCGAGTACACTATCGGTTTATGATCCGTGTACACCGTAAATAATCGGCCTTCAACGATAGGTCTGAAATGCTTGATGGCCAGATATATTGCCAAAAGTTCTCTGTCATATGTTGAATACCGCTGCCGCGTATCGCTTAGTTTGGTTGAGAGAAATCCTAGGGGCTTCCAATCCTCCCCTTCTTTTTGTTGCAGTACGGCCCCTGCGCAGGTATTAGAACAGTCAGTCATGAGGGCTATCGGTGCATCTGCTGACGGAAATGATAATGTGATTGCGCTTTTTAGGCTATGTTTACATTGTTCAAATGCCTCATTTGTTACGTCGCTCCATGGAATCAGACTTTTATCTTTTTTCTTCGCGTTGTGTAAGAAAATATTCAATTTTGCCTGAATACTGGCTGCTTTCGGTATATGACGCCTGTAGAAGTTTATCATCCCGAGAAATCGACGCAACTCACTTATTGTTCTAGGTCTCGGAAATTCGGATATGCTTTTGACCTGTTCATCTAACGGTCTAAGACCTTCTTTCGATACACGAAATCCCAGAAAATTTAGCTCCGTTTTTCCAAACTCACACTTGGCCATGTTTATTGTAATGCCATATCCATTCAGTCGTTTCAATACTTCACGTACATGCTCTCTATGTTTACTTTCTGATGATGATGCAATAATGACGTCATCAATATATATGAATATGTAGTCTAAGCCTCGCAGTACCTCGTCGTTAAGAAAACGTTGGAATGTGGCTGCAGCGTTCTTAAATCCGAAGCCTAATCTTAAAAACCCAAATAAACCAAAAGGGCAAGCTATAGCAGTCTTCGGGATATCCTTCTCAAAAATAGGTATATTGTGGTATGCTCTCTGCATATCTATTCAGGAGAATATGCTCTTTGCGTGTAACAAGTAGGTACAGTCTTGAATACGCGGTATTGTGTAACGATCGGGTTTCGTAATCGCGTTGAGCTGCCTATAATCACCGCAAGGTCGAATTTCACCGTTTTTCTTCATAACTACATGCAGAGGACTCGCCCAATTCCTTTTGGATGGCCTACATATCCCCATTTCTTGCATGCGTTGAAATTCAGCTTTGACTTTGTTGTATTTATCAGGTGGTAATGGTCGTGGACGAGTATGTACGGCTGGTCCCGAAGTCTCGATGTAGTGTACTGTTGAATGACATGGAGTATTTTTAAAATTCATTGGTTTCGTTACGTTGGGAAATTCTGCCAAAATATCACTATAATCACTTTTGTAGTCGATTGTCCTTACTGTAGGCTCTTCTTGCATAACCACAGACGCAATAGTCTGTAGACTAGTCAGTGAATCTATTAGTTTTCTGTTTTTAACGTCCACTAATAACGTGTAATGAGACAAGAAGTCAGCTCCGAGTATAGGTTGCTTGACCTCTGCCACAACGAATGTCCAACTGTAGGGTCTACGTAGCTTTAAATCTAAGATCAACGTTTTTACACCATAAGTCTTTATTTCTGTACCATTAGCTGCGTAAAGTTTATAGTCTTCACATTTTCCACTATAGAACTCATTTTTGATAAATGGTAGTACCGATATATTTGCACCTGTATCTACTAAAAATTTTAAACCACTATTTTTATCTGTAACACATAGGCGGTGTATAGGAGTAATGGTGCATATCTCCGCCTGCGAGTACACCACATTTAGTTTTCCGGATTTTTTTGTTTTTTCCAGGCGCACGGGTCTATACATTTCTTCGCTCTATGCCTAAATCTATAATGATAAGAGCATAGCCAGTCCGGGCTGCTCGGTGAACGCCGTGTCATATTACGTCCTCGCGATGCTGAGCGTGACCGTGAATGATATCGATTGAAATTACGATTATGATTCCGGTCCTGTTCCATTTCTCTTATTTTTAGGCTCAGCTTAGCTATTTCCGCTAAAATAAAGCTATGATCGGCACTAGAGCTGCTGGACGTGGCCTGTACTTCTGCCACTTGCAATGGTTGCGTGGTCTCCATGACTTTATCCGCAATAGCCGATAAATGTTCTAAATCCTTCACTTCACTGACCGCCAACACTCCTCGCACCGTAGAAGGCAGGTGTCCCTGCCACATAATGCGTAGAGTGTCATCGGGTATTTTGTCGCGAGCCAAGTCCCTCATCCGACGCAGGAGTTGAGATGGCTTCTGATCCCCCAGCTCCATTTCCCCTAATAGCTTTTGAAATTGTCTGATTTCCGACTCTTCATAGATTTTTAATAAGCGCTCTTTAAGCGTGTCAAACTTCTTAACCTCGGGCGGCTTGAGAAGAATGACACTGACCTGTTGCACTACGTCTTTACCTAATTTCGTGACAACTAAATTATATCTGGCCTCGTCGCTGAGCTTCTGTGGTCCCAGTATGGCTTCACACTGCACATACCAAAGGCGTGGTTGGTCGTACCAAAACTCGGGAATTCTAGAAGACACTGTAGCAACCGCTACCTCCCCTTCGCTCGATGGTTGCTGACCCGTTGTCATTTTGCCAAAAAAAATATATATGCACGGACTTTATACTGAAGGCGTAGGTGTATTAGATATCGGGGTCACCACTGTACTGTTTTGTATGTATAGTCTTTATTTGGTGTCGAGTATTGTAATAAAACTCTCAATATACGATGACACGTCTGTTTAATATAGCCGTCAATACAATACTGAAGTGCCGTAGGCACATCACCATTCTCAATATTTTCACTGAAGTGCCAAAATTTTAATAACAGCAAAAAGCGATCCCTGGGCATTATTTTTGATATGTACTCATTTCGATAGCAACTCTTCTTAGACCAATATAAGTTAACTGTAGGTAATTTATTGACACCCATTACCAACAACACACCTATTAACATTTGCATTTCCTTAAAAGTAGTTGGCTCCCAGCGTTTTAAACGAGATTTTGACTTTATAACATGTAAACTTATATACTGAGCTGCATGCTTGTTAGATTTTGCCACCATTTTAACGAAGACCTCTTCGGTAACAAATAATTTGTAGTAATCAAGTGGCTCTTCTAGAATCACATTCGGTGGAATTTTTATTTCGCTTTTTAATTCATTTTGTGTAAAGTAGACTTCATCGGTAGTTAAAATGTCGGTCCATTGATCTTCAGGCGCTTCATTTTCGTCTTGAAACAAACTTGAAACATTTGATTCCGAATGACTATCATAAATTTCATTAAATGTATCAGTACCGGAAGTATTTTCAGAATCAGAGTCACTATTAGCAATTGACGACTCTTCAGGTGGGAGCGGCTGTTGAAGGTTGTTAATAATCAAAGACGGTTGATTTGATTTCACTGTATTGTTTACGTCAACCTTAGCCTGATGTGGCATTAGTAGATTTTCAGTTTTATGGGCAATTGTTTGTGAAACAGTCGATTTTATAATCTTTTTAGGCCGTATGTCAAAAATATCCTCGTCTTCGGAATCTAAATCAGCCGGAGCAGGGATTCCGTGACGCGTAAATGATGTTTCAACATCATCATCACTTTGGTTCTCTAAGGTATTAAGATGGTAGTTAGATAATGTCGGTGTTTGATGAATGTGAATATTTTCATCAGTATTCACAAATGAAGAACTATTTGGTGTATTAAACTGCTTACTTTTGAACATTTGACAAAACATCCATTAGAAGTGCTGATTTGAAAGGTGATTCGAGTGGGGATATCAAATTGCGCACAGAAATGTTGTCCAAAGATATTAGATCAGGATCATTGTTTTTGTTTGTCTGATCCAAAACAAGAAATTCTTTTTTTGTTGATGGACTTACAAAAATTGATTTCGACTCCTTATATCTAACTAACCCCGAACCACAAGCCTTATTCCTTCTTGATGACGGGCTTGTGTTAACCGAACTTGATTTTTTTAGAATTAGAAGTCACACCCGAGCCACTATTACACTGCACAACTTTCTTTCTTGCTTCTGCACCTTCACTTTTGATTCCTTTACTCATATCAAGTCTTTTACGTGAACTTCTCATTGTTACGTAGTTTTTCGCACAAAAAACTTCAAGCGCCCGAAAAATATCGAGCGCTTACGTACGTTTTACTTACGGCCAGTACTATTGCAAACTGAGACGCCGCGCGAGCGCATGCAGTGAACTGCGGGGTTGGGGGGGTACGGCAAGACAGTTGCTGTACCGCACTGAATAAAAATACTTACCTTGCTGTGCATTACGGCAACTGTTTTGCCGTACATTTTTAGAGTATAATATTATTATATTAAAAGCAATCATATTGAAAAGGTCACTATCTCTTTTCTACACGTACGGGAACATAGTTAGATCACCCCCGCACCACCCGGAAAACAAGAACAACGAGCTGCCGCACTGGCTGACTGTCAAATACGGCAAAATACTTGCCGTAACGCAGCGAATATGTTAAATTTCAACAAAACTTATTATTACTATTGGGTACTAAGAAAAATTAAAAACGTAATTTTAAAATATCAAACTTAATATTAATTTGTTTCTACAGGGATAAGACACAACTTCGAAACGGATCTAAGAATACCGTTTTTTACCTTCAATGTTACAACCCGTACTATATTATCTAATCCTGGGTGAAGATCAACCAACTTGCCGAGCAACCATCTGCAAGGAGGCAGATCACCCTCTCTTACTACCACAACATCCCCTATTTTAGGTTCCGGGTTTTTGGATGCCCACCTATATCTGTGGTAAAATTTGGTTAGGTATTGTTGGGACCAGCTACGCCAAAAATCCTGCAACATTTTTTGTGTGTATTGCCATCTTTTCAGGGATCCAACCTTTACCAGTTCATAATTACGGTCCGGAGAAGTAACCAACGGTTCACCTATAAGGAAATGACCAGGCGTAACTACCATCATATCCTCCGTATCAGTTGTAATTACAGACTGAGGCCTTGAATTCAGGTAGGTGAGAGTTGACTGTCCAATTACCCGTTTTAAATGATGTTTGACGGATTTAACGCCAGCCTCCCATAACCCACCGAAATTAGGCGACCGGGCGGGAATAAAGTGCCAGTTACAACCATTGGTTGCTAAGGTTTCAGCCACTTCAATTAGCATCGATTTCTTTTCGGTCTCAAAAAGACGTTTGAGTTCGCTGGATGCTCGGACGAAATTAGTTGCGTTATCACTCCAAATTTTTGAGCACATACCGCGTCTCGAGACGAATCTACGGTAGGCTTGCAGAAATCCTGCCGCTGTGTAGTCAGTTATGACTTTGAAGTGAATCGCGCGTGTCACCATACACACGAATAAACATATGTACCATTTATGAGATAGATGACCTCTACCTTTGGTTGTTCGATTTGTATAGGGCCAGCATAATCAACCCCGCTGCATTTAAAGGGCCTTGTAGGTGTGACTTTCGCCGAGGGCAGTTGTCCCATTAATTGAGTTTGTGTCAATGAGGTATTCTTTATACAAGTCACACATTTTCGCACATAAGACTTGATGAGCTGTTTAGCTCCTAAAATCCAATACTTCATTTGAATATAGCACAGCATAAGCTGTGGACCACCGTGAAGGGTTTGCTTGTGAGCATCTGCAATGATCAAATGGGTCAAATGAGATCCTTTAGAATTTAAAGCTTCTGCTAATTCCAGTTTAGTAAGGTAGCTCTTGCATCTATTAACTGGCTTTTCCTTTAAATATTGCACAAATCGCAGTCACTCTAATCATCCGAGTGAGAGTAGAAAACCTGTTCCAGATAAAATATTCTACAATGGCACAATGCACCTTGATTTCCTCTAGTTGTAGCATTTTTTTTCCTTTTTGTAGTGTATCGTTTTGAGAGCCAGAAATTCTGGGCCATCAAACCATAACCTTTCACTCACTAATTCTATTGGACGTTGTTCCTGCGTCTCATCGGGCTGTGCGGCCCCCGCACCAAACCGGTTCCGCGATCTTCAACAACGGCCGGGCGAGGGCTGCTCGGCGCGGGCCGACACTCGCTCAAGAAATGTCCACGCGTGCACATCACCTTTCATAAATTATTGTAACAAGTGAAATACAGTATATACAGTCTACTACGCGTTTATTTTTACAACTCTTAAAACACACATCCAGTCAAGCACACCAGCCACACAACTGGAGCTTGGCATTCAGACATTGGTCCTTCGATTGTCAAGAAAGTTACCAGTGGTTCTTCCGCAACAGAAGATACTAACTTCCGTCATTGGGAAGCCATCCAAAGGTCTTTTGAGTATCTCAGAGAAGCCAGCTGCCCTTACAAAATCGAAACAAGCTTCATAGACTCCGTCCTAAGGAAGTCATCCAGTCTTAACAATTTTTTTTTAAGTCATACAGCGATCCTGCATTGTCGGAAGATCGGCGTGTTTTGATCGGCTGCGCACATAACACGTGGACTCAGGACTACCCGACCGCCCACGCACGCTTACATCGTGCGCGCCAGCCTCAGAGGTCACCCAGAGGGCACTACAACAGGAGCACAGTCAACGTTAAGGAACTTTATTGAGAGTGAGTCCGTTCCATATCCTTTAATCCTTATCATATTCTTATTTTCTTACCGGGAATTTTTGAGTAGTACTACCTGGATCAGGCATATTGATCTCTTTGTATCGTAGTCTTCATCCAAATATCTAATTCATCAACATCGTTTACCTTTGAATTTTTAGTAATATATAATAGTCATTCTTAATCTTTTGCTTATTGCATTCAACATTTCTATTTATTAGCGGGTGCATTTTTCTAGCGAGTAAACCGGTTTTTTACCGCTTCGTCAGTTATCTATGCATTTTATACGTTGCCTTTGTTATATTATTTCTTGTTTCTTTCATCTTATTTGCATTTTAGACTAATTTTTTGATAAATTTATTTAATTATGTCTGAAGCAAAATTGAGAGAACTTGTAAAGAGGCGTGGCAGCTTTAAAGCTAAGCTTACTTGTTTTAGTAACTTTATTCGGCTTTTACCGAAAACTGGCTTAGATTCTTTTCAATCTTCAGAGTTGCAATGCCATCTTGACCTCATGGACTTCGACGTCTTGCAGACAGAAGTGGAGCTGTTGTCGGAAAACCCAGGCGACACGTACGCCGAAAGAGAATAGTTCGAGATGCAGTATTATGCGCAGGTGGGCCACGCGAAGGCACTGCTCGCCCTCGCGCGTCCGTCCTCGCCTGCGCCCTCCTCCACCACGTCAGCTGATGACATCCCGCACCACGGATCTGGCTGCAAGCACGACTATGTCCGTCTGCCTAAGATAGACTTGCCTCACTTCAACGGGGACTATCAGCACTGGCTCGAATTCCGAGATACGTGTATTACACACGAATAATAGTATACAGGACATAAACAAATTTCACTATCTCCGCGCGTCCTTAACAGGCAGCGCATCTTTAGTGGTAAAAAGCGTTGACTTTAAAGCCGACAATTATAAAATAGCTTGGCAATTATTACTTGATCGTTTTAATAATGAACGTTTACTCATCAATAATCATTTACAATCATTGTTTAATTTTGATAAAATTGATAAGGAGTCTTGCAGGTCACTAAGAAAAATGATTGATGTAACAAATAAAAATTTAAGAGCACTTGCAACTCTCGGGCAGCCTACTGAACACAGGGACACATTAATCATCTACATGATGTCCAAAAAGTTAGATGTTGTGACCAACCGAAAGTGGGAGGAATATAAAAACAAATTACATACATTTCCTAATTTACATAATTTCATAATTTTTTTATTAAACAGAGCTGACCTATTAGAGACTATTTATGAAAATAAATACTTAACATCTACTTATCCTACCACTAATAAACAACTAAATGAGCATAACAAACATAAAAATAGTCTTGCATACACAAAGTCCAAACCAATCAACCCTTCTAAAAAATATACATGTCCTATGTGTTCACAAAATCATTATTTATTTAATTGTCAACATTTTAGAAACCTAGATATAGATTCACGTAATAAGAAGGCTTCAGAAAGTAACGTATGTATGAACTGCCTTCGTCCTGGTCATACAGAAGCGGTGTCAGTTATCGCACTGCAAATACTGCAAAGTAAGACATAATACCCTCTTACATAGGGATAGATTAACTCAGCCAGAAGACAACGTTGCCTTGTTAACTAAAACTGTACAATCTTCTCAACAAGCTACTGGGGTTACTGTGCTATTATCAACAGCGTTGGTGAAAGTGGCAGACGTCAATGGTGAGCTTCACACAGCCAGGCTCTTGCTAGATAACGGCAAAAAACTTGGCTTGATAACACGAAGCACTAGCTCCACTGTCACAGGTATAAGTGGTCAAGTTTCTCAAACCTCCGAAAGTTGTAGTCTTACGGTACAGTCTTGTTATGGCACTTATCAGGTGAACGTTATGTCTTGTATTACCAAAGATCACACAATGGCTGCCTGGTATTTATATGGATAAGACACAAGTGACTATCTCACCAGGTCTTCAGCTAGCTGATCCTACATTCAACGTGCCGTCAGCCATAAATATTCTTGTAGGAGCTGACGTATTTTGGGACGTCTTAGGTTCCAACACTATAAGTTTGGGTAAACATCAACCTAAATTACAATCTTCGAAATTAGGATGGCTTATTTCAGGCTGTGTATATCAGTCTCGTCCTCAACAACCTCCTCTGTGTCATTTC